GTGTGTGTGTGTGTGTGTGTGTGTGTGTGTGTGTGTGTGTGTATATAATTTTACTTATATAATTATATATAATTATATTACTATATAGCTATATATATATATATAATCACGAGCATGTAAAATCGACACGTCGTGTTGCAGTACAGTGCTAAGGCCAACATAAGTACTGAGTACAAATTAAGGCCAGTCAATTCGAAAATCCATCCAGTTATAGCCGAAATACACGGGCGGTCCAAAATAATTAGGTATATGACAAATGTTTTACATGCAATACAAAATGTTATCTAAGTCCGGTCCATTCAGGCAATAAGAAGCAAGGAACAATACTAGTAAAATTCATTGTAGCGAAAGATAAGTGTTTGGTACGTAATAAGGATGATACGTTGTTAAGTATCAGTATAGCTTATTATACAGAAAAAAGTAAGCATTTATCATGACATGCATACTCTATTGACGCAAACCAACAACTCACGAACCTGATTCGCAGCCTGGATGGTAGGTCCGTCCGCAATCGGGTCTGTGAATGGTACACCCACTTCGATGATGTCCGCACCAGCTTTCTCAAGTGCTAAAAGTATAGGCACAGTCTGATCTGGGGCCGGGTAGCCAGCGGGGATGTATGGGATAAATGCAGGTCTCTCCTCGCGCTTGGCCTTGGCGAATGCTGATAGTAGTGCCTCAGACATGTTTAATGGTCTATGATATATACCTGGACTTCTGTTATTGTATGCAGCTAGCTAGAATGTTAACGTTAAGGCTGATGCAAATAGATATTTAAAGACAATTGACTGCTGTCTGCTTACAGCATGCACCGAGTATTACTAAGCTAGTGGTACAAATACAAATATATATAAATGTGTCTGCTTGTCCTCTTGCCGTCGTGATCCACGTTTGTACTGTAAACTATATGTAAATAAATAGTGGGAAACATGGAATGGTGCTTTCCGGTGGTCATTGTTTGTTAATTAAATTTGGTGTGCGTGATGTCAGAAATTTTTTAAAGCAGAGTGCTGTGTCAAGCCTCAGCCTGACTGGACTACCTGTCGTGTAGGTGTGCCTGTTCTTCCGTTGTCCAATCAATCACTAAGAAATGGTGTCAAAATGACCAATACCACAGCAGGTCACAAGAAGTCATCAGGAGGAATATTATATCACGATGAGTCAATACTTATTTGTTTATTTGTTTTTTATTAAAACAAAATACATCCATTATTCATACCACCCCTCACATGTGAGTCATGACTTATTTATTACCATTCAGGCACTCACTCCAGTGATCCAGTCTATATATAGATACCTAATTATTCACATATAAATATTTATGTACTGATATAGAGCCATATTTCTTCATATCACCGGCCATTTTAGAATTTAGTTCTTAGGCCTGGCTCAGTGACTTTTCAAATAACTACTGACAAGTGACATATGACCCCTATTTACTGTATATATTTAGAGAGAGGGGTCTGTATTTACATAGTCTGTACGTAATTCAACAATATTTATTTATTACAAAAAAACAAAATCAAAGTACTGCCCAGTATTCCTACGGACTTGTCCGTTCTCCCTAAATTAAAAGGCTCGTTCTTAACGAGGGTTTTAATTAAAAAATGAATTTCTATTAAATGGTGTGTCGACCAATTCCTTATATTAAATTGGATTTCAAAACACGATAAAACACAAAGCCCTCGAAAAATGCAATTAACCTTTAACGTTTGTTAAGGAATCCGAAAACGTACCGTTAAAATACGCTTGTCAATCGTGACATCATTACCGTACAAATTACAATTGGATATTAAAAGCCCGCCACATTAATAGCTATTTATAAACCGCGCATCTATCTATGTTATTAAATATTTTGTAAATCACAAGTTGAAATGTTATGTTCATATATTTACATCGTACGTTGTGCCGGTTGTGTGTGCAACCGCTTAATTGTTTCGGTTGCGTGTTGGTGTAGTGGATTATGTGTTGAAACTCTTGTACACAGTGTTTAAGGCCAGCATATACATTATGTGCAGTCATACCATCACCTGTGATTGTTCGAAAGACTTCCTATGCGGCAATGTTTGAACTACCAGCCGAATATCAGCTGTGTAAGATTCGGTCTCTCAAGGCGATATTTACGCCTTAGAGTAAATAAACGCGTAGGTAAATTCTAAGTATCGTGAAAATATCAAAGTAAATAAATGAAATGAGTCTTTTAGTAAAGTTAGGTATGCCTCGTGAAAACAGCAATACTCTGAGGGATTGTGAAGCTGAGACATTGCCTATATATAATCCTCTCAGTACTATTTCCGCCGAAAGAATTTTATTTAGTGTTTCGTAGTCGCTCTATTAGAAACTATGGTATGTTTCATTGGGATGAATCCGAGGGACTCATAAAATCCTATCTTTAGAAGAAAAAAATTTAAAATACTCTTGATGTCCTTAGTTATTGTCTAAACCAATAACTTGCCACTTATTAAGAATTATCGACTTAACCTTCATCAGACTGGCACATCTGGTTGTCTGATCGGAGGATAAATTAGACGTTAATAGACCCTAGAAACCTATATTCGGTTGAGCCATCTCGCTACCGAAGTATTCAAATATAAATAAAGTTGGAAAGTAAATATAGTTCTATTAATAGAACTAGACTAAATCTTATGTTTGGTATTTACTGGGCCTTTTAATGGCCTTGTCCAAATATGTGATATGTAGAATGGAAAATTTATTAACTAATAAGACCGTTAAAACCCATTTAGGAAACTTAAGCTCATTGTACTATTAAGAGTACGTTTATATTTTACCTACTACTTCAGAGTACGTTTATAACAGAGTCCAATGTGGAGACCCGGTTATTAGAATTTTGGTATTTCTTATTGTATTTATGATCTTATTGGCATATGTGACCGTGTATATCATCGTACCTATAATAAGTATCCTTTGTTTCGTGTGTTCTTTCGTATATGAGTGGTTTTTATTAAAAGAATTATAATTGTTACCAAGCAACTGTATAATATATCTTTGTATAGTAATAATTGATATTCAATCTAAGTAATTAATGCATCAACCAGTTTGAACCAAGTAACACTTAGTAAAGAGTGCTAAATCTGAAATAAGTGAACTTAGTCAGAAGTGCCATTGTGAATGGCATAATTGATATTCCCAATAGCACATTTGACTGAGTTCACTTATTTCAGATTTGACACTCTTTACTCAGTGTTACTTAAGCAGTGTATCTCGTGTGACGCATATCCTAGGTATAAGTTTGTTATACCGTGGAATTATTATCCATGATACCGTAGTAAAATATCTCTGGTATTCGTTGTTGTTATACACCTTGTGGCCTGAACGACTCCGTTATAATCACTGTACCATGTGTATGCAAATTAATCTAGTATTCTAATCAAATTGAGATTTACTGGTCCGAATCTATTAATCTATTTGTTATGTGTATTTCGTCTACAAGCCACTAGTCTGTGTTCATTTGTAATGTATTATAACTTCATACCCGTGTATGAAGAACTTCCATGTTAAATCTATCCGTAAATTAATGTATTATTTTTCTTTTGAATGTGATTGTATTCGATTGAATGCGATCTCGATTTTTAACATGTATACATGTGACCCTTTGTTGTTTTGTTATGCGTAAGCCCTCTATCTATAACGCGCATGACCTCCTCTAATATGTGTTGAAAGAAATATCCGTGTTTTAACTGTGTATTATAAGCTGGTTATTGTATATTTACGAGTGTTAACGTTCATTACAAAACGTGTAGCGTATATTATATCACGTAAACTTTTTGTGAAAACGTTTATATTTGTTTGGAAAAATTAGGTATATTTCTAGGCCCCATTTTTCTGTAAATATATACGTAAACGCATTAGACAAAAATCGTAAAAGGCATTAGACTAAAATTTTAAACGCATTAGACTAAAAGTATAATTTTTATGAAAGTTAATACAGAGTGTTCTTCTTTCGTCCGCCTATGTCGCGGACAGTTACCATTTTACTATATAATAACTCTAACAATACTGTACTGTCTTCTTTCTTCTCTTATTCCAGATTTGACCATGTGCGACACCCTTATATGTGACGCTCTCCAATTATGGGTATCAGCAACAACTCCTTGTCGTGCTCGACCATATCGTAGTATACCATTAAACCTGCTTATTCTGGTCTGCGCTTGTTCTTAATGATTTGAGGTGTTATGTATGATGTGCGCGTGGTGTGATGTTCTCATGGACATACTTGAGATGGGCACGCTTTCCGTGACTCCGTCACAGCGCCTTACATGTTCCGCCTGTCACACCAATAGAGTTACGCATGTTCCGTCTTCTACGTAAAGGTGTCTCGACTGTATCGCCTCCTGCGTAACACGTCGCACATGTTCCGCCTGCTGCGAAATCATGTTGTACACATTCCACCGTCTATGTAATAATGCTACCCATGGTATCGTTGAGTATGTAATAATGCTATCCAAACCAACACAGCTCATAGCGACTATGCAACACGCCTGAGGCTGTGGGTTCCTACCGACACTCAAGTGTTCGCGCAAAGTTCAATGCGGCGTGTCCTCGGGGTTGCTCACCTCTGAATAAGAGTCAACAGGGTGCTCGCCTTTACTCTCAGCATCTAAATAGTCTTAAGGTCTATTCTGTCGACTGTGATAGTGTCATGTAACACGCTAGTGAGGCTGCGGTTGCTCACCGACTTCAAAGTGCCTACGCAAAGCTCAATGCACCGTGTCTTCAGGGTTGCTCGCCACTGAGTTAGAGTCAACAGGGTGTTCACCTGTACCCTAAGCATATAGATATACTTGCCACTGACCACCACCGCTCATGTTTAGCGACGTTTGGCGTCGTGTGTCTGTTGTTTTTATGTCTATTATATTAGTGTTGCACGTATACTACTATGACACTAGTGTAAGCCCTTATATGCTTATTTGTACTTGTTGTCTTCTTATAGTGTATAATGCATCAAACTACTTATATCATTTCAGTTGTTGTCAAACATGTATCATGTTTATCTATCGTAATGTATGTAAGCAATGTTCTTCTAATAGTAATCTGTGCAGCTCGTGCATCAGATATGTTCTAATACAGGTGTCTATTCTATATATAACAGCTTTTAATACAAGAATATCACTCCTCTAACATCGACTATCGGTTATATAAGTGTGTTGTCATCACCCATGCACGCAGCAAGGACGCAACCTTGGCCAGATATACCATCGACCCAGGCTGCTCTAACCTTATGCGGGCACGACGTTGGGATCGTCAAAGGCATCGGCTGTCACCCATGTAGGAGATCCTTCCAACCAGCGTACCAAATATTTCGATTGTTGAGTCGCCTCATTATGACGGTGCAAAATGATGCGCCGAAATGTCAAGCCGCTCTCTCTCCATAGAGATTCATTGAGTGGTGGCTCGGTGGCCCAATGTACAAGCCGAATAATCCCCACATTCACGGGTCGGTCTCTGAGATCAGGTGGCTTGCTGCCATCCTTTGCTCGTAGATGGTAGCTCTGATTTTCCCGACTATGGGTCACGTACGGACCAAGCAGTGGTTTCATGGCTTTGGTCGTCGCTCCCTGAGCGAGTATCATGACGACGTCCCCCATCTTTAATTCAATCAAATCAAATTTACGCATCTGATCCGTGTAGCCTCTGCCATGACATCAGTATACTTAATCGTTTTCTG